CAACTTCAGTGGGAGCCAAACATGCTCATCATCACTTCCTTAAGCAGGAACCATGGAACAAAACTAAATTTATTGTTTGAAGCATACACAGCTTTGTTTCTTTTGAAGTGATAAGAAATGTGTGGTAAAACAAGCCACTGTGCTTGTTGTGTGCACAATCTGGTTGATGTTTTAAAAATGCCATGACAGAATGGCATTTTTTACTGTATAAGGATGGGTGCATGTTTGGAGAGGAATGCTCAAATGATTGTTTGCTCACATTGAGTTATCTAATAAAACTGTTTCATCTAGAGGGTTTTGTTTATTTAGGATTGGTGTTTCTTTAGTGTTTGGTTTTGGTTTTAATACATCCAGCATAGAGGAACTGCAATGGATTTAAGGAAGAAAGAAGTTCAAGACATACAGTATGAGTGAAAACTTTTGAGGGCTGAATCCACCTTTTAGTTCTGTGCACACAGCAGCTAGCAGAGTCCATTGGGATCCAGAGAAAGGCTGCTGAGTGTTACTATGGTGGGACACACTGTTCAGTGCTTAGCATACCTACATAGTATAGTTTATAAAAGAAGTGAAAATACCTGAACAGCGTAAGTAGTGGTTAGTGCTGCTATCTCTGCATTTGAAAGCACCCTCTAAGAGTGTGCCACCAGATTTGTGAGCATCAGAATTCTGTGCAGGCTCTATTCTCAGAATAATGGACTTCCAATACATGCCAGGATACTGGGAGGGAGAAATGTATAAAAGACAGGTGAATCTGTTCCTTTTGGAGAAGCCCTTCACATTTTTATCTGCTCAATAAGCTTCTTTTGAAGGACTGTGACACTGTTGAATAGTTTTGCATTCTTCTTGTCTTTACCGAGATTTCTTGAGTGTTAGTATAAAAGGCTTTTCTTTTAGGCAAGGGGAAGATACAAACTGCATCAAGGGAAAGAGATAGATAGTTGACTGTAATAAAAATAATTTCAAAGTTTCTAGCACATGAGCCAACAAGTAGAGGTTTAAGTGCTCTAATATGAAAAACTCCATAGCCAGAATGGAGGAGGAGACTGCTATGCAGGTGACAAACAAAACTCAGGTATTGTAAGTTCGATGATGCTCCAGAAAATATGTAAGAAAAAGCTTTGACGTACAAAACGATTACCTTAGCAATTTTGATAGACGAGAGATTGATGAGGGATTTCTGTGCTGCCAGGATACAAGGCACATCCACCTGCTTTCTGCTCTTTTGTTTTAAATGTGGTGGGGTTTCTAAAGATACAGCTCTCTCTGGTACCAGTTCTGGGTTGGGTGTTTGGCTTCAGTTGGATGCTGCTCTCAGTGTCTGTAATAATGCCTGTTCATCTTGCTGCCAGGGGCATGGAAAGTGACATTCAAATGCCTATATTCCTTCCAGACCTCTGTGCCTAGTGTTTACAGCTCCCCAGTTCTCAGTGCTACCCCAGCAGTGCTTCCCCTAGACCCTCACAGTAATGTGTGAGAAGCATGTAGCTCTTTTCACTGGCTAGCTGCAGCTTTGTGTAGCTCTCAAAAGATGTGAATGTGTCCCTGGAAGGGCACTGTGGTGATCTTCAGTTTTATCATGAAATTGTGATTGATGCTAATGGATAACATGTATGTGGGAGCTCTGCTACAGTTGCAGCTATTATTCTTCTACTGTCAGTTTATTCAGTGTCTCTGAACTGTTTGTGTGATGAACTGAAAGCTGCAGCTTTCTGGGGATCATCTAGGACAAGAAGTGCTCTGTAGATGCGAAATACAGTATATTAAATCCCTGTACTTGATTATGCTTGAGAGGTGTTCACTCCCAAGTAGATGCTTGAGAGAGAACTTAAAGCAGATGCCTGTCCCAAGCCACTGCAGAAATCATGCTTTTGCCCATAGTCAGAGTAATTCCATAATGACTGCTGGTGCTGGGGCTTGAATTTCACACTGGTGAGGGCCCTGGTTATCATCTGACAGATCAACACTTTCATGTTTCAGAGTCCAAAACAAGTTCTTCCTTTCTGCTGCTATTCCCCTGCAATGTACTAATGCAGCTGATGTCAGGTCAGTGAGAAGGAAAAGAATTCTTCACTCAAACTAAAATTGAACCTTGTATAAGGTACAAGTTGATGAGCTTACCCAGGTGCTCACCAAGACCGTGTTTAGAGGATGTGAATAACTTTACCTGTGCCATCCTCTCCAAAATCTACCCATTCATGGTATTTTTACATTATAATTATTATATATAGATTCAGTTCCTGTTACGCTTGTAAAATAATAAACCATTAAAGCCACAGATCCCAAACAGCCTGTCAAAATGACCATGAAAATGACAAAATGACAAACTTCCCATGGAATAAGTAACAAAAAGAAGTCTCTTCAGCCCCAGAGCAGCCTCATTGGCAACGGTAACGTTTTCAGAAAGGCTCTTTCTTTCCTATGAAATGTACTTTTTATTTGTTCCAAGGAAGAGAGATGGAAAGAAGAAAATAATGCATGGAATGGTTTGGGTTGGAAGGGACCTTAAAGGTCATCCAGCTTCAGCCCCCTGCCGCAGGCAGGGATACCTTTCACTAGAGCAGGTTGCTTCAAGCCCCGTCCAACCTGCCTTGTATTTCTTTAATTAAAGAAAAAATAAAGCAATTTTTTATAGATTCTTCACAGCTTTCCCAAGGAGATACCAAGCTCTCTGGGAAAGGATCTTGCTTCTGAAACCAGCAGTCACACACCTTCAAATACTCTCCTTCTGCATTATTCAAAACACCTACAGCCAAGTGTGTAGCTCAGGCAACCTGGCTTAATATTGAATAATGCAGTCACTGCCTTGACATCCGGAGAGATGTCTGTACCCAGCAAGAGCTATTTTTATGTGTGTTGTCTTGTTGCTTGAGGGATGATGGAAAATTAGCCTGCATGCAGCATTCTTTCTCCTGAAAGGATACGATTTGCACGTGTGTTTCTGGGTTCCTTGACTGTTTCTTTTCTTTACCCTCCGTCTTTGTTAATTATCTCACTACGTTTTTAAAGCTTACGATTAATCGCTGTTGAAGTGCATTGAATTTGAAGCCAAAGTTTCTGCTATTTAAGTCTCTTATCAGGAAACCAAGTATTAGAGTTGTTTGGTTTCTTATTTCCGAGGCTGTTTAATGACAGTAGAAATACTCAGCCTGGCCCTAAACAGGTGATTAAAGCCGACTATTGGCCAGATGTTCCCCTTTGTTGCCTGGCTTGGAGCAGAAGGAAGAACAGGAAACCACAATCCCAATGCACCCTCTCCTTGTGTTTTGGCAAGTGATCCCTGTGTTACTGAGTGTCTGCAAGGATATAATCTTACAGCCAGTGTGAATGGTGGTGTGAGCTGCTGTTGCAACCATCCCTGCATGCTCCTTCTGTCTCAAGAGTTCAGAACATCCCTTTGAGCAGCTGGACTGGGGGGATGGAGAACTGAGTTCAGCTGTTCCCAGTGACCAGATAGTGGATTTCAGGAAGAGGTCATCTTTGGAGTGTATGAAGGACTGGTGAAGGCCTTTGAGATGAGCTGGGTGTGTAGATGTGAAGCTGTTTACTGCTTTAATTTTAACTTCTGTGCTACACCTTCTGTCCTCAGAGGCAATAAATCAGAGAATCCCAGACTGGTTTGGGTTGGAAGGGACCTTAAAGCCCATCCAGTTCCAACCCCTGCCATAGGCAGGGACACCTTCCACTAGAGCAGCTTGCTCCAAGCCCCTGTGTCCAACCTGGCCTTGAACACTGCCAGGGATGGGGCAGCCACAGCTTCTCTGGGCACCCTGTGCCAGCGCCTCAGCACCCTCACAGGGAAGAGCTTCTGCCTAAGAGCTCAGCTCAGTCTCCCCTCGGGCAGGTTCAAGCCATTCCCCTTGGCCTGTCCCTACAGGCCCTTGTCCCAAGCCCCTCTCCAGGTTTCCTGCAGCTCCTTTAGGCACTGGAGCTGCTCTTTCAGGAGCCTTCTTTTCTCCAGGCTGATCCAGCCCAGCTCTCTCAACCTGGCTCCAGAGCAGAGCTGCTCTATTCCTCTGATCATTTTTGTGGCCTCTGGACTTGCTCAAGCAGATCCATGTTCCTCTTGTATTGTGGCCCCAGAGCTGAACTCACACGGAGCAAAGCTAATGCCAGCAGAGGAGGAAATCAAGGAGCAGCTAGATAGAGATGCTGAGTAAGCACCTGCAGTGCCCAGGCTTTTGCTTCAAAATTCTCTCATCCTCAGAGGTTTTATTGGGATCCTGCCTTGTCTGAGACTCAGTGAGAGGATGCAGGTAAATTCTAGGTGGATTTTACATTGTGGAGAATGTCAGTGGCCTCCTGAGCCTTGGAGTTAGGAAGGACCCGAGGCTGTGCCTGCAGTTAGTGCCCTCATTCATTCCACCTGAACTGGGGTGGCTGCTGAGCCTGGAAAGTAAAGGAGAATTAGACCATGAAGCATGGGAGGAAACCAGGAGAATGTTTTCCCTGGCTCTATGTTCATGGGAGTATACCAGCCTTATTTTTATGCTCGGGTTTGTAATGGCTTCTTGCTGAGCTTGGAAAACTCTTAATTATGGATCAAGTGGCAATAGGGGCGTCTCTCTCCCAGGTCCTGGAGACAAGTTAATCATCTAAAAATCACTGGAAGTGAGAAATTCTGGCCCTGGTGGCAATGCAGAGCCACACAGGAGAGTTAATTCCAAAAGCAAAGAAAAAGAATCTTATGCTGTGAAAGTTACCCAGGAATTCATGATTTCGGTGGACCTGTTAATGATTTCTGACTGCTCAGGTCAGCTGGACCTGCACAGCCCTGACAGCAAACAGCCACCATAACCTTTGCAGACAGCATCCTTGCTCTGTCTTCATCAGAAGACCCTCTGCCCAGGGTATCACCCGGTCACGGAGGGGGTGCTCCTTTATAGCTGTCACCGTGAGGGGTTTTCCGCTTCAACAGCCGTGAAACCCGCATCTGGGGCTGGGCTGGGCTGGGCTGTGCTGTGCCGCCCCTCGGAGCTCTCCCCCCCGCCCCCAGGAGCAGCAGCATCCGCAGCCCCGGCTCCCTTGTGCGGCTGCGGGGAGGGGCCGCGGCGGCTTCCCCTTGGCTCTCAGCACCGACCGCAGGAAGGCGCGGCTGGGGCGGGGAGGGGACGGAACCGGAGGAAGGAGCGGAGCCTCCCCCTGGGGTGGGCAGCGCAACGCAGCTCCGCTCGGCTGCCGGCCCATGCCTCGGCGTGTGCAGTGAGCGCGGAGGGAGGGAGCCGCGGCGGCGGCGGGCGGACGGACGGGCCATGTCGGAGGCGGAGAGCGGGGCTGCAGGTAAGGGGGAGCGGGGCCGGGTCCCCGCCGCAATGCGGGAGCGCTGCCGCCGGCGGGCGCGGCGCGGCACAGCACAGCACAGCCCGGCCCCGGCTTATCGGGGGAAATGATCTGGAGCCGGAGCCCCGTCCGGAGGAGGAGAGGGCGGGGAGGCGGCAGACAATGTCCCGGCGGCTGTGGCCGCACCAGGGGCAGGCAGCGCTCCGGTCCCGGGGAGGGGTTTCGATGCGGAGCTGCCGTGGTCCCTGGGGAGCCGGTGCAGCAGAGTGAGTGGGGTGTAAGTGCAAAACAATGCGGCGGCATCGCTGGGCCGGGTGCCGGTGGGCGCAGCATCCTTCCCGGCCCCCTCCTCCCCGCTGGTCCGGGTCTTCCTTTCCCAGCAGCGGCCCGGGAGAGAAGGGGGAGGGCTGGAAATAAAGGCAGGCGCCGTTTCCAGCGAGTAGCCTGATTGATGCACTGAGAAAGAGCGAGCTGGCAGCTCGGTGGGAGAGGCGGCGGTGTCTGCGATGAGAGTCTCACCATCCTGGCGCGGCCCTGGGGACCGGATTGCTCCCAGGGAGGTGTAGGGATGGGATAAACCCCAGGGGTTCCGTTTTACCACGTTAGCGGGTCCGCGGGTCCCTGACTTTGCAAACTTGCTCTACGGGCTGAGACGCGCTGAATCTTCTTGTGCCTGGAACAAGGATTGTGTGGGTTTGGTCCGTTTGGGGTTACACTGTGTCTGATAAAAATAACACAGCCTTTGCAGGACAGGGGTGGTCTCTCCTTGTGTGGGAAGGGAGCTGGGGGGAGGGAAGAGGGTTCCTAGGATACAAATGATACGGGTGAATAACCCTAAGGGAAATGCAGGCTCGGCCTGATTTCATTCGATCGCTGCATCCCTTCTAACTCACTGTATGCTGCAAAGATTTAAGGAAACCTGTACTGGCAGTAATGTATGGAGAAACTTGAAAGGTTGACTTTATACAGATCATAGTGGGAACTGGGAACATTTTGAATAAGGTAGCTCAGTTGCAGTGCAAGTGGAATAAAGGTAGCTATGTAAAAAACCCCAGAAAATGATACTTAGAAACTGGCTGCACCTCCAAGATGACTGGATTCCCTCCCTGCCCCTCCTAATCTAAATGCCCTCTCAGTGCTTCCTAAATAAAGTCTCTAATGTCTGTTTGGTTTGAAGGAACCTGCAGCGATACACGAGCATGCAGCTGACAAAGGGAAGAGCAGACTGACAGATCCATTTGTCTTTTAGATGACAGAGTATCGTGTGTTTTGTTTTCTGCAAAGTGGCAAGGATGCAATAATGAAATTAAGGAACTTGGGACATAGGGAAATCTATGCAGGAAGGGTCTTATTAGAAGATAGAAGACCGTGTACTAAAGCAATGATTTGTTATGCCAGAAATCTTTACGTTCTTTCCACACTCTGGAATGCTGAAGCTGTCAGAGCGAAAAAAAGCTTGGGGATAAAATGTGATTTAGTGAGTGTTGCTGTATTGACAGCATTGAAGCTGCAGTCACTTATTGCTGCATAGTACAATGTGCTGAGGAGACCTCTACATGTAAAATAGCCAAGCGTTGTATGCAGTGCCTGCCAATCACTTTTATAGCTGTGGTTAGCACAGCAATGCGGTATCTGCAGCTTGGGTAGTACAAGCCGGGATGAAACTGTTTGGACCCAGGAGCTGTGGCATGTAAAGCTTCTAATTATAGTGACTTTTGGCATTTTTAAAGCCATTGGCTCATAATTAGGCGATGCTGATTCAGCTGACAAGTTTTGCTCTATGGTTCTGTCACCCTGTAAGCTTGCAGTGTGAATATTTAGTTCAGTGCCACTGGGACAGCAGTTGGTGTTCAACAGAGCTGACCTGCTCTGTACCTGCAGGGTTTCCCTATTGCTGCAGTGAGGTCCCCAGAGGTCTGTCCTTTTCAGAGGCTGATTTAGCTCATACATGTATGGTGCAAGGGGACTTTAACCTAGTCTAGAGGGAGTGACCAGGACGTAGCTCAGATACAACTCCCACCGGGAACTGGAAGAGGCTGCTGCAACCTCAGATGTCAGCTTAAGTTAGAGCAGCTTTGGAGGCTAGGTCATTGCAGGGAGACCAGAATGCTGCCTCAGCTACAAAAAACCTTTTCCCTGCATGGAAATGTCAAGACTTAGGACAAGTTTTGCTTTCTGACTGTGTCACTGGTGCTATGTGAGTTGACTGGTGTCTCATCTTGTGCTCTTCTCTGCTTTTTTTATTTGCTGTTGAGCTGACGTGACCTGCTATGGCCAACTGTGCCCACTTTCATGGGAATACTGGAATTTTTGAGGCCCCACCTGGACATCATACCTGCTGCTATTAAGTCTGGAGTGATTTTTTTTTTCTTTTAAAGCTGCAGTTTTGATCAAATACTTTAAAATTTCCAACTCCTTATTCTTCTAGTCTGGATGAGTTTTGCTGCTCTCTACTATGATTTCACCTATTGTATCTATCATAGAAGCATAGAATGGTTTTGGTTGGAAAGGACCTTGAGATCATCCAGTTCCAACCCCCCTGCCATGGGCAGGGACACCTCACCCTAGACCATGTCGCTCAAGGCTCTGTCCAACCTGGCCTTGAACACTGCCAGGGATGGAGCATTTACTACTTATTTGGGCAACCTGTTCCAGTGCCTCACCACCCTCACAGCAAAGAACTCCCTCCTTAGATCCAACCTGAACTTCCCCTATTTAAGTTTGGGCCCATCACCCCTTGTCCTGTGGCTACAGTCCCTGATGGAGAATCCTTCATTGGCATCCTCGTAGGCTCCCTTCATGGCACCAAATAACCACCCCTTTCTAAAAAACATACTTTTTAGTTCTAAGCAATGACATCCAAAGGATCCCATCACCTCTGTTTTCTGTACCTGAATTGGTTCTGCCTTTTGATGGTGTGTCAGATGGGATTTTACAAGTATTGCACTTCAAAGAGCACATCATTTACGGTTTTAGAAACTTCTCTCTGTGGCTGTTTTAGTCTGTAGGGGTTGTGAAGGAGCAAATTGGCTTTTCTGAGGTATTTAACAAAGCTGCACTAGTAAAACATAAGGAAAAATGTGAAAGGACTAAAAACCAGTGCATTCAAATGATGGTACTTCTGAGTCATGACCTTGATTAAGTATGACACAACATGACCTTTGGGGGGGGGGGGGGTGTTTGAATCTACTCCTTTTCTGTTTTTTAAGTGAAGTAAATGTTGATGTTTTCCATATGCAGCTTAGTGAAATGTGTCTATCCATAAATGACTTCAGTTGCTTACTTGTTCAGCTTCTGTACAGCACTTGTCACTAAGCAGCCTTGCTAGTTGAAAACAGAACTGGGGGAAGCTCTAGGCTGCATCACTATTGCACAGGCACTATTTGTGCACTAGTGAAAGAGAGAGGTATCAGGAGGATTTGGAATCTGTTTCAGGAACGAGCTCTGAAGTCCACTGGTTGTGATTGCAAGTGGTACACTCGCTTCACAGATGTTTCACTGGAGAGTGTGCAGCTGCTTGGTGATGTAAGGTCACAGATGTTGGGGTTGTACTGAAAGAATGCTGCTGCCAAGTGTGAACTTCAGCCACCTGAGATGCCTGTGACATACCTGCGGACTTCATCTTCTTCACTGTGACAAGTGACCCAATGGCTCCTAGGTCATTACATTGAAACTGCCTCTTTCTTCTTGGTGACCAGACACATTTTTGAACATCCCATAGCTCTCATTATTGAAAATATGTCAGCTATGGCCCATGTGTTGTGCCGTTAAGAAACATAGTGATATGCATTTAAAATAAACAAATGCAAGTTTTACATTTTGCCATTAACTCCTAATAAAGCAGTGACTTTGCAGTGTTTGAGAACTAGGATGGTGAGCTGTGTAAGTAATCAGTATTAACACAGGAAATTCCTTCAAAGTCTGTCTCGGAGGGATTTGAGAAAGGTTTTCATATAAATGAAAAGGAAGATGCAGTCAGTTCTAATAAAGTAAGCAAATAAATAACCTCCAGTACTCAGAATATGGAGGCCAGCATTCAGGAGAGAAAGCCTTTGTTCTTTCTGAAGGTCTTGACTGAATGTCCTTACTCAGGACTGCATCAGGGTGTGTCAAGGACATCAGAGGGCAGCTTCAGGGTGCTCCATCCTCAGCATGCTGCTGTGCTGTGGTTGTGTGTGTCAATTGGTGCTCACTGGCCCAGATCAGTGGCTCTGTTGTGATTGATTTGCAAGGCTGTAGGCACACGGATCAGTTCTAAAGGCATCTTCATTTACTAGCACAGGAGACCTGAAGAGGGTTTTTCTTTGAGCTGTTTCTTCTGTCAGTAGCTCCTCAGTGCCTGAATCCACCCTCTCACTGTGCTCTGCAGATCCAGTTTCTGAGGTATATGGAGGGAGATTTCTAGTAATTGTTACCAGTTGGATTCAAAAGAAGCATGTATGTGAATGGAGTTTTGTAACAGCAATTTCTTGGCATTTGAAGGGCTTCATTCACTTATTCCCTGAAGAAAAACTGCCTCTATTGGAGGAACCTATCCAGCCTGCACTTAGTTTCCTTGGGGAAAGAGGCAGAAAGAAATTACTCTCCTTAGGCTGCTTTCTTCTCAGAGACGGAATAATCTGGGAACACTGCTTTGATTTGTCCATTTCTGAATACATCTTTCATTTTAGTGCTGCTCAGGTCCACTTTCTAGGGTTGAAACAGGTTCTCTGAAAGGGTTTTACAGTCCTGATCACTCCATGCCCAGCCATCCCACACAGCCTTTCCTTGTGAGGCTCTGTGTTTGTAGTCACTCTTGCTTTTTGGGGTATGAGGAGTGAGTATTTGTGTGTCTTTTTCCTTGTTACACCAATTGGGCTATTTTTCTGTGTTAGCAGATAATAACAGCATTAAAATCACTGTTTTCTTTAGTACATGGTTGTTTGGGAAATGTATTACATGGGAGATTTGGCCTTGGGGATTTCATCATTGTTTGAGGACTCTTCATGCTTTCTCCACGC